AGCATATTGGTGATTGCACGGCAATGGACCGGGAGAAGGACTTCAGCATTGGACCCACGAGAAATGAATGCAGGCGGGATACGAAGAATTTGATGCAAGCGGCGGTTTTGAAAAGCCGTTCAATCGTCGGCGATCAGACTGCGCAACACTTTGGACTCGATGAGTCGATGAGAGCTCTGAACAATCGAGTTTGCGGTCGCGAGATAGTGAAGCGTGCTTCCAAATCGCAGCTCGCCTGAAGGTGTAATCTATCCCACCGGAATTCCATGCCACGCAATTTGCCAACATCAGTAACGGTCAGATCAAGCAAGAAACAATGCGTTTTCAGTCTGCATACACAATGTCAGCCAACAAATGACACCGATTTTACGCACGCCTAAAGACGAGACATCCAATTTAGCAACAGCATCGCGCATGAGGACAGTCATCATCATGATGAATAGTACTGACCTCAACATAAACCTGCTGATATGCCAGAATTCTGAACTTCCTCGGCGGTGAAGAACCCTTGACCTTCAACACAAAGTGCATCATATTGTCACCTTGCAAAAAGCTGGAATACTATGCTGTCCATGTTGATTCTGTAAAACCGAACTGAGATATCTAGAGCCTTTCGGCTTTAAAAATCAGAAACAAGATGTGGCACTCGGGCTCGAGGGGATTGCCCATGCGATCACCGCAGGTACCTCCTTCATCCGTTTTCGGAGCAGACGTCCGCGATAAGCTGATGTACTTTTTGCTCCGAGGCCTCGTGCTTGCGACCATCCATGAACCAAAAGACTAGAGCACCAAGCAAAAGCAAAACCCGATCACTAAGGCCACTCAAGAGGCTCAGAAGGGCAGTGCTCGCTACTGTCCTGTTACCGACGGGGNNCATCCTTACGGCCCATCGCTGGCAGTCCGGAGGGAACTGTGGGAGACCGCTCTGCAGAGTACGACCCACCGGCTGCCAGTTCGTGAATACTGGACGCAATGACTTGCACTAAGGGTGACTGAGGTTACATGACAAAGACCCTGTGAGCCTGGCTCTCACATGAGGAGTTGTACAGATGCTACGTGCTACCGCGCGAACACCGCTCGTGCCAGATCAGGACAACGCGCCCGGGAACTGATATCCAAATCAAGTGACCTGCCTCCTTGAGGCAAGTGCCCAAGAACTGTGCTTCGATTTACCCAGTCTTTTCGCTTCCTTTTTGCACAAGCATTTATTTCCTTCCCTGAGTATCCTATAGGGATACTATAGGGGGGTCCACTGTGTCCCAACCTGTGCCTAGTCTTGAAAACAAGTCTGGGCCTGCGGAAATGCCTCCCCCACAACAGAAGATGGCCATCCCAGGCCCTCCAGGCTACCCCATAGCAAGAGAAATCCCGCGGTACGCATCAGGGCCAGCATCGGGATGGCTGCAAGCCGTAAAATTGCATCCAGCTTGCGGCATCTTTTCGCTGTCTGATTTGTTCCCAGTCGTTCGTGGCCTAACGGTGATGCTGCGCGGCCAGCACAGAGGCCCCTCGACGAGATCGGAGAACCTCGATCGCACGGGCTTTATCGCAGCCGACGGCAGTCTACCCTGCCTATGGAGCACGGTGTAGTTTGCGAAGCAGACTGCCCGAAGATCACATTCGATCCAGGTCCTACTTGTGAGAGAGCGCTCGTAGAGGCGCACCAAACTACCAGCAAAACCGCGCAAAAAAACCGGCAGGCGTCCCTGGGTGTCTTGTCCAGAAGTTAAAACTCCGAAGAAAGGCAAGGAACGAGGCCTCGGCTCGAAAGCTTCCTTCAGGGTACCCAAGTTCAGCAGACGGCCAATTTGGAACTGGAACTGCTCCTTGACTGGCTTTGTGCGGCAGGTCCTTTTGTAACAATAAAAGCATAGGCGGGAGAAAACGGCTCGCCACCCGCTAGTTTCACAACACTTGGTGCAAACCAAACACTGCCCCTTCCACTGCGCGGAAAGGTGGAAACCCTACCGCTTACCTCCAGCTCTTGCAGAACTTGCTGTCGCAAGGAGGCCTGGCAATTGGGGCCCGGCAGTTCACAGAGGCACGAGGCTCCATGCCCTGATGCTTCACAAAGGAGCCCGTTGCAAACCTGTAGAGTTGCGCCCGAAGCCTGGTTAGCACAGCTAAAATGCCTAACTTCTGTGAACCGTAACGGCAACAACAACAACAAGCACGACCACAACCAAGACAACAACAGCCAAAGCAACAGCAATCGAGGCAACAGAAGCAGCAGCAGCAGCACCGGCAGCAGCACCAGCAGCAGCAGCAAGCAGCAGGGGAAGCTGAACAACGGCGCCCGACTGTCGCGATGCGTCAACCACCACAAACATTACATCCAACTAGCAAGAATTCCAAATCTTTCGGAGGTTGTTGGGGCGGTATGTCGTGATAACGATAATGATGCTGGTGACCGTGATGATGCTGCTGATGAAAGACTACAGTGATGCATGTGGTGCGAACCCCTTCGTACGCGCGGTTGCTGCCTTTGTGTAAAAGGCACATCACGGATGGCACAACAAAGTGAAATCAGCATGAGGACAAAACAGAACGATGACGATGAAAATGTTTCTCTGATTTCCCAACTGTTCCCGGACTTCTACTTACACCAATGCAACAGAGCAACGGTCACCCACATTTCATCCGCAGAGGTTGCTTGAAGGCAGTGAGACGCAAGGCACCGGTATCTAAACGACAACCTCACATCAACATCACAACATCATCGTCATCATCATGATATCAACAGCATCACATCATGCAACCCAAACCACTGAAACCATCCGCCATGCTTTCGGGAAATAACAACATATTTGCTAAGAGCAAGCGGCCTAACGAGTAGACCTTCTACCATGCCATCGTCCTGCCTCCAGGCAGGCTTCGCGCTTATGAGCAGATACCTCTGGCCACGGAAACAGAACGCGCAGAGAAAAGCCATCCAAACAGCCTGAGAACCCCACTCATTGCCGGGATCAAGTCTGCTTTGGTAAGCAGACATGCAGACAGAGGTGCAAACCTCGGCGTAGGCAAGACTTGCGCCATGGACGACGCTTGCAAATCGAAACAAGGCCAGAATTGTTTGACAGCGTCGTGACATGCGAGCAAGTATACGATATCTTCATGTTACCTACACAAGTATGCAGGTACGGTCGGCATCTAGATTCTCCGAACGTTCACGGGTCATCTTGATGGAGACTAGAAACTGGACTGCCCACAAATCTGTGACCTCAGGATGATTTCTTTGTCGTGCATCTTTTTGCTTCTTCCGAACCTTGAAGCAGAAGCCAGCCGTTCGGTGAGGGTGAAAGATACCAAGCAGCTCTACCGGTGGGAAAACAGTGTCCTTCAAGGCTCATGGACTAGAAACCCACCGAGGAATGGCAAGCCATGGCAACACAGGGTGTGGCTAGGCCGGTTCCAGGCCATGAACAGTTTTGGAGAATTGCTTCTGTGCTCACCTTGTCGTGGTTCTCCTGAGCCTCGTGACGTGCCGTGCTCCTGTCTTGTCGTTGGGCTTTCGCCACGCTCATCACCTTCGCCTTCCTGGCCTCGACCGGGTCCTCGTGCATTCCAAGAATTTGGAACGGCTGTTGCAGGCGGTCGTGTCTGTCTCCGCATCGGAAGATCGAGAGGGGACGTGGGTGCAGACGGGCGCCGTGGCGGAGAGCGAGGCCGAGGCACGACAGACGGCCAGCGCAAAGAGTGCATCGGCTTCGGCCTCGGAAGAGGCAACAACTATGCCTACAATGCCAAGTCTAGCATGGAGAGTATGCAGCACGTTTTCTCCTGCTATCACAAGCTCGCCTCTTCGAGGGGACACTTCTGATGATATGCCTCCACGAATGGCCGCACGCCTGCTCCCACTTAGCCAGCAAAGCATGCGAGAAAGGCGAGATTTGTCACAACTGCAGCGCCTTCTGCCAGTGGAGTGTGTTCAGGCACATGAAAGAAAAGATATGCCTGCAGCATCAGAGCAACAACTAGGAGCCCACTCGATACACGGACTGGCTGAGACTGTGGCCATGCCAATCGCCGCATCCGAGCACGTGTAACTGTAGAGCCTAACAAACAGCTGCACACACAACTACCCGATATTAACATGACGCTGAAGCGGTCTTAAGCCCGTCACATGTCTCCGAAGTCCAGTACCCCAACTCGCCCTGACAAAACGCAGGTACAATACAACTATCCGACTGTTGACCTGCTGAAATCGCACTTCAAAAGATATGTCCAGCAAAGCTAATTACGCGTGACATGCTCATGCGAAAGCCCACGGTCCAGTCCGATGAAACAATTGCCGGCCATCAACCCCAACGACGAGGTTGTAATCGTTCGGGTCGTTGTGGACGATGGATCCTCAGTCGCAGGAGGTATTGTGCAGTTTCAGATTGAATGCAAGCAACCGGGTGTTGTGCGCCGAAGCTTCGGCAGCAAGGACGTCAGTTGCAAGCGCTGGGCATCCAGTACCTCCCCCAATTGGTCCAGACATGCAGTCGTCCTAGTCTAATGAGTGATAGCCCGCGTCTGTGACAGCACAGCCTACTGGTTCGGAATTTGTCTTCGCTTCTCAGTTCCTAACCGCATGCAGAAAAGACTGATCGTAGGTGCGACAAAAGAGAAAGCATTGCAGCCACCCGTACTCAAAACGCAACTACCCCCGAAAGAGTATGCCCAAGAGGGGGGTTCGCCTTGAGCCAAAGCGAAACGTCTCGTTTCTACTTTCCCTCGCAAAGCACCTCGTCAAGCCCTGACACTTCTAATTACCTTGGAAGATTCCGACCTTTCAGATACCGGGTCACCCGCCGGACCAGATCCTGCTGCTGACCCTGCAACTATGATTTTGGGATGGTATTGGCAGGAAATTGATGCCTGTGCTCGGGCCTCCTTGACATCTCCGATGTGCGACTCAACTACTTCAAAGCATCGCTGCAGATCCCATACCTACGATGTTGACATGAGTTGACATGAGAGAAAAGTGAGAGAAGCGAGAGAAGTGTCCTGAGGCTACTGCAAACTCACGAGTGGCCGCGGAATGCTGGAACTCCTGCAAGGCCTCATGTCATGAGACTGGCAGTGCATCGCCCGAAAGAGACAATCTCTCAACATCTAAGGCCAGAGCCGCCGTGATGCTTCCAACAGCCTCGCCAGACCGAGATTTTGCAAAGGCTTTCGATGCCCCACAGCCCGAGCCTCCCCAACAGCTGCAAAGAGCGAGGCGAGCTTGCCGGAGTCCGAGCTGGCCTGAACGGCACCAACGCGACAGCGACAGTGAGCGAGCGGAGCGACAGCTGCTGTCGCCTCGGCGGCGGCATCCGCGAGCATCTGCCCAGGCCTTGACAGGGCGTGGAGGATGCTCGCGGCTCGCGTCCGAGACGAGGCTCCGGGGTCTGGGCAAGAAGGACAATGCTCTGCAGAAGCATCTGCCTTCTTTGCCTCCTCCCATATTGGATCTGCTACTCAGCTGCGGTCTCTCCATGTTTCAACTGCTCCTTCTGGTAAATCCATCGCCAAAAGTGCCTCACCTGTGTCTTGGGATCGTAACCTTGCAGAGAGAATGCAAGAGTCGCCCGCGCAGCATGACCCTACTCATCCGACTCAGATCAAACAAAGTCCCGAGGCGCACACAAACGCTGGCAGCTCGCACCTCGTGCCGTGGCATACTCCAAAGCGAGGCACCTGGGCAGAGAAAAACGGTCTGCTCATGTCTGTCGGGCCGAGGCTGAGGTGCAGGCTGGCACTCGACGAAATCTCGTGTGTCCTCTGGATTGTGCACCTTGAAGACGACGAGCTCCTCGCCCTGCGGACTTGTTTCAAAGGCAAGGCAAGGCTCACAGACACTCACAACTGGGACGGCTCGTCGGCTCCTTGGCATCGGTGGACCTGCTGGGAGAGTTCTGCAAAGAGAGAGGCAAGCAAGAGCGAAACGTCAGCCGACCTGAGCAAAAAGTTGAGGTCTCGTTCCGAAGGCAACGACCTCAGAAGCTGATGCCAAGCGGCCGATTCGATGCCTATACAAGAACCGATAACATGAGACTCTCGAAATCCGAGGCATTGGCTTCTGAAGCTGAAATTCACCAAATCGACGAGCCACCTCCGCGACTTGCGGCCAAGAAAATGGAGGTCGTGAATCAATGCCTCGGCAAGTGCGTCTGCTTGGTCTGCTGTGTCATGCCCCGGCTGAGTGCAAGACTGGAGCTGGCCATTTCCCGTGGGCTCCCGGGGTGAACTTATTCTTATCACCAGGCGCGTTGCAGAAATGTAGGTCCAAAGTCGAACACGTGCACGTGAACATCCTGGCCAACGACGCCACGTACTCTCTGAGCCAAGGTATAGTGTGGCCTCCGCTTGCTAAGCAGGACAAAGGAAAGGGGACCAACGAAATCGTTCTCTCACTTTGTCATTCTGCATCCGTCTTAGACCGGAAAAACCTTGTCGATACCGAGCTGGTTTTCAGCTGCGGCTTGAGTTCCATTAGCAATCTTCATTAACACAAGCAGCTCTCACGCCTACTTGAGCTGCTCACGTGGGCAGGATGTAACCTAAGCCAGGTGATACTGAAAATGGCATCATTTGCAAGCGTGTGCTCCTCAGCAAGAAGCGTGCAGGCTGTCTTGGTCTCTCCAAGACATTGATAACGAGCCTCTCCTGCAGGGGTGTGCAGAAACTTGCGGCGTGTAGGAGACTTTCTCTTGGCACCCGCCTCCTGCACCACATCATCTACCGCTGCATCTCCATGCAGTGACCTTTCGCGCTATTTCTCATCGCACCGTCAAAGCCAATCGAGCAGCCCGTCCTCTCCAGAAGCATCTCGGCTGCCTTGAACAAGTGGCACAGAATATGCGAAGTTCTGTAGCTCTCGGGTCGCCTCGTCTTCAGAGCTTTGGTAAAGCCTCGGAATTCCTAAACAGCCCACACGCACCATCAAACTGCTCGTGTCTTTGTGCTGGTCCATAAATATCTGCGACCAGGGCCAACCATGATATCTAATAAGCCATTGCAATGATGACCCTTCCTTGGGTACGTGTCACCGGGTCGTTTCGATGGCGAATGCTGGAGTGGATGATCAGGCTAGGAAGAAGGCATAAGTCAGGCGGATGTCGTCCCTGCCGCAACACACCCAATCTCCGAGTACACTAAAATTAGTTACGTCTCAATCGAACCTTGTAAACATGCGTAATTAAGGCGTAAGCCATGCCAGCCCTAGCAGTTGAAGTTGGTCCAATTTTCAGGAGGCTTGTGGACACCGGACAGCCCAGGACGACACAGACTCGACATGCTCGGGCTGGGGCCATGCTGCAGCATCTCGGACGCGTTGCTCACGCTCCGCACCTGGCTCAAAAGCCTTCTAAGTTCAATTGTCATTGGCAGTTTGTAGTGCCTTTCTGCTCTGCTGCCCAGGAGATTAGTGCATCCTGCGCGGGGCAGATCAAGGCAGCTCTTGAGAAAAGCACCACTTTCCCCTTCCGGCCCTTCCGCCTGAATCTCGCCTGGGCGAAGGCATCCCCTCCGCTGCAGCAGCAAGAAGGCCTGACGGTATTCGATGATGCGCCAAGCAGACTGGTCCCAAGGTTTGGGTCCTGCGGTCGTGGGTCTGTGGCAGCCAGTTCGATCACCGTCACAGGCCACTGCATCGCTGAGCCCTTTGGGCAGGCCTGGCAGAACGCTCGAAACCGGCGGTTGTGTCCGCGCTTCGCCAGGATGCCTCCGAATCAAGCTCGGAACTTGTCGTTCGTGACATACGGACCAGCCGAAACAAAGTTCCGGCCGGAAAGATCCTGGGGCCGACAAGCTTCTTACGTTGAAAACAAGTCACAAACCAGTGAACCAGTCTGATCTTGCGTTGCCAAGCATTTCTCGCCGCAGGGCGTGTCTGCTAAGCCGATATTCAGCAAAGCACCCGCCAGAGAAATCAGAGCGCTTTCACTTGATGGCTTTTCGCGGCCCTGGAGATGGCTTCCGGGCGGCTGCCTCGATGCAAGGTGGATATTCTGAGCCAAGGCAAAGCTGTCTCTCACATGTACCTTGACAGCCTTCTTGCACTTGGCTTTTGGTTTCATGAGGGCTGCATCGAGGAGCTTGAGTCCTGCACCCGCATGCTGTCTCTCAGTCCAGTCCCAAACCCGGTACGTACAGCGGTGCCTTGCATGCTGCCCATTGGAATGCCGATTCCATTCGTCGGCGGCACCTGCACGAGCAGTGGTGTCATCAGAACCGTGGAAAACCCGAGTGACGCCTTGCAGTGGACCGGATTTATCCGTATGAGACGGGATCCTTTGCCCCCGCCATCCACCGCATCCTGACAGCCGCTTGTCTGGCGCACAGTTGCTTGAGCTTTTCAGAGCAGTCGGCCAACCCGGCCTCACCCTGAACACGAACGCTGGGGATTGCAAGCCCCCCTCCACACTCCACGACCACAATTGCAGCTTCGTTTTCCTGCAGCTTCCAGAGCCACCTTTGTTAAAGACGCTTGGCATCAAAAGTCCCAAGCACGCAGCCCAGATGAGTAGCAGACTGATTGTACGCATCGCCACGTACCAGGGCATCCGTAGATGCCTTTGTCCGGGGCACATCACTGAACCACTGATGAGAGGAGGAACCGCTCGACAACCTTCATCCAACATGGAAGACCCCACATCAATGTCACTGTCAAACAGTTGTTGCGAATGTCGTGCAGTCTCAGCCACATTGTAGTTCTTGTCGTGACAAAACCAAACCTGAAAGAGTCCAATTGAAACTGACACCAACTGAGGATGATTCCAATGTGATCCTGACCTAAACTGGCATGCACAGGCTGAGCCTGCAGCATTGGGTCTTGCCAGAGATCCACACCGAGGACACTTGAAGCAGTCCCGCTCCAAATGTACCGAATCACGGAAGCGAAGCCCCTGAATGTTCAATGCAAGAGACACAGACATACGCACACGCACGCGTGCGCGTGCTCAAGCATCGCGATTTGTTGATTTAATGATTTGGCTGAGACAAAGCGACTGAGCACTCTGGCCCCAGGATCTATTTCTGTATCCAGTCCGTCCGGAATTACCGCAGCGGGCCAAACTTCATCTGAACGATCTTCGCGCAACCCCCTACACCTCAGCAGCATCTGAAGGCACAACTGACCAAACAAAGTCCACACAATGCTACTTTCAGAGCTGAGGCACTTCCTCCTGTCCTTCGTGCACTGGAGATGATGTAGGTCCCCGTGGCAAGTCACCACTTTCTCTGGAGAGAAGCCGACCTTCTCGAACATTCCATCGATGTTCGAGGTCCAGACGTAGTATGGTTTGCGCAAGGTTGTGGCCCACCGCAACAACACCGCATAGCCTTCAACAAGAATCGACATGTGTGGGAGGAACGGCTCGAGAGTCATAGATGTTGACCACAACGCAGGTTAAAGTGTAGAGAGAGAGTGAGAGATAGAGACAAAGAAAGAAAGGAAGGAAGGAAAAACAAAGGAAAAACAAGAAAAAAAGAAAGAAATGAAGGAAAGAAGGAAAAAGGAAAGAAACAAAGAAAGAAAGAAAGAAAGAGAGAAAGCGAAAAAGAGAGAAAGAGAGAAAGAGAGAAAGAGAAAGAGACAGAGAGAAAGAGAGACAAAGAGAGAGAAAGAGAGAGAGAGAGAGCGAGAAAGAGAGAGAAAGAGAGAGAGAAACAGAGAGAAAGCGAGAGCGAGGGCGAGGGCGAGGGCGAGGGCGAGGGCGAGAGGGAGAGAGACGGGGAGGGAGAGAGCGAGAGAGAGAGAGAGAGAGAGAGAGAGAAAGAGGCCAGGGCACGTGCCTTCATGAGGTTGTGTATGCCGGTACATCGATAGTTGTGTGTAGTTGATGCCCCATGCAAACCTGATCAGTGATAATGCAGAAGACAGACATGTGCACACCGCGTGCTTTCTGCGTGCGCGTGTGGACAGGTTCGCCGCACGTGCGAGAAGGCAAAGCAAGCAGGCCACAGCCATACCGTGTCGCTAGAGGCACATTCTCGGACACGCAACAGGGGATCTTCTGCAAACCATCTGTCGTCGCTCATCTCCTAGCGATGCATCGTTCAGCCAGGTATGATACGATAGGGTCGCCAAGTACCACTACACGAAGTGAGCCTCGTAGGTCATGGCAACGTCACGGTCTTTGAAGAGACCGCTAGAGCCTCTGAAGTCGGGCAAACCGCAATCCACTCCCATCCCGGCACCTGCAGGGCGAGACCGCATTCCTCCCAAGCTCTCTCACATTTTCTCTCCATCCTGCCTGCCGTAAAGATCAGCGCGTCACAGCTGGCGACGGCCTGCTCGCTTCTACATCAGCCGATCCCAAGACTGGCAAACAAGCAGGCCTCTGCTGCTGCCTCCAAGGCGGCACTCACCTGCAGGGGCTCCAGACATCTCCAGACTCAAACATCTCTGCCCTCGGGAGTTTAGAAGCACGCGAGACCTCGGCTGCAGTCTGTGGTGGTGGAACGTGATTTGCGTCTCGATGCTCCAGATAAACTTTGCTCATCGCAGAGCGAAGGGACGCATTCTGGCGCTTGAGCCCAGGCTGGGGACCGCGGGCCGCCTGTGCTGTGTGCTGTGCTCCCTCGCCAGGTGAGAGCCTGGCACGTCATCGCCACCACCCTTCAACGACATGTGCTCCGGAAAGCTGGGAAACCTTTGCAGACAGCTCAGGTACAGAAGCGTAACTATGTGCGAGCACACCAGCATGCCCTGTTTCTGACAACAGAAGCCAGATAAGCTTGGATCCTCTGTCACGAGTTTGAGGAATGCCCCGGTCGCTCAACATCGACTTCTCGTTCTTGTTTAGTGCGATGTGTCTTGAAGCCCAGAGCTCGGTGGTGGAATGGGCATGCTTGACCCCTCGTGCTGATCTTGGGCAACTACTTTGGGTCTGCTTGGATCGCCAACAGGACCTGCAGAAAGTTGACTGCTGACTGCTGCTCCATACACTGTATGCAAGCTTACCATGCATCCGAGCGCTTCGCGTTCGAGCTGGTCTTGGCCTTACTTCAGGCTGTCACTCTTCGGGGAGCTACTCCTTGTATCTCTTTGTGTGGTAGCTGACGGGCTGGCAAGACGCTTCCCGGCGTCCCAACGCGAGGCCTCGGATGGCGTGCACTTGCTTCAGCGACTGTAGTGACTCACACAAGTATATGATTTGTGCGCAATACTGGCCCCCCCGGCAAAAGCTGTGGGGAAGGAACCGTGGCCTCAGGTAGAGCCGAGAGACCAGCCGCGGCAGAAGGCCAAAACTTGCAAGGGCTCCGGCTGAGGATAAACCACATGCCAGTTTCAAGATCCTGGCTCAGCTTCCAAGTCAGGTTCTGACGTGTGCCATGAGGCTGTTCGGCGCCTCTGCGTCTGCGGGATCTGTCGCCTTGCCAAATGTGTTTCAACGAATGAAGCGCATCTCAAACGCTTCAAGGCGGTAAAGTGGCGCGCCTCAGAGGACTGCCTTACATGACCCGACACTCCAGGTTCTCATGGCATGGTCTACCACCAGAAAAAAACCGCGCGCACAGTGGGAGTCCCCGGGCTTGCGGCTGCCTCTCTTTGCACTCCAAGAACCTTGTTGCACAACTACACTCCTGGACGCAGTTCCATGGAACCAAAGACATCTTTGCATGACCGAACGAGAATTCAAGCAACCTTGCTCGCAAGCCAGGGATTTGAAAGAGCACCCCTGATGGCTACAACATTTCAAGTTAGTGATGCTAAGTGTAAATGTGTCAAACATCCCACCATCTTTCAGGCCTGTCTATCATGCTTTTCAGCACCGAGGGAGGCAGAACCTGACAGTGGCACCACGGCAGCTTGCTGATGATTCTATGAGAAGCTGCTGAGTGGCAGGCGACCGGTCTGAATGTGACGCCTTCGTGTCGAGCCTTACTTGCCACTGCGAAAATCACGTGGCACCTCATCACCAAAACCCGACTAGCCTCAGCCACTTGAGCCTGTAAAACATAGAGGGCAAACAACTTTGAAGGAGTGGGTGGAAACTCGAACGAACAACATTGCATGTGACGAGACCAGGACTACGGCTTCAGCACGACCACACGCTGGAGCAAACACAACATGGGCTTCAGATGGCTTTAGGCTGGGAGAGAGGGCTGGTGTTCCGGGGCTGTCGCAACAATCCGCGAACACCGACATGCTTAATGCAAGAAAACTGCGAAGCTGAAGCACACCACAGCCAGGTTGCTCCCTGCTGTCGGAAGTAACATGTTGCAGCTTGCACCAGTTGCCTGTCACATTGCCACACAGTATCACATCATGTTATGGCTGCGCGATGTACTCACCACCAACATGACAGCAGCACGCCATCGGAGACAAAGCCTTTGCAAGCGAATGAAATGAGCGAAGGGCTCATGACACTTTCAAGAGCATGCATTGACGAGCCTGCACCAGACTTTGCAGGGCCATCGATTCATAAGCTTGCATGACCTGCAGCGTAGTCGCACAAAGTCTCATGGAATACCGGAAGGCATCCAGACCTCCGGGCTGCTCTCGCGCAGGAAGCCTCATCAAGGGCACACGGCAGAAGTGCCGGCAAGGGCCTGTTTCTAAGATGGAGTCTCTGCCTGCCAGTGCTTCCATAATGTGCGGCAGCCAAGACTCGCGGGTGAAGAGCCTGGCGACGGGCAAAAGCGGTTGTCGCGGGGTCTGGTAAGAGATGGCTGGGCACACCAGAGAATTCCCAAGTAGATCTGCTGCAGATTGCCTTCGTCGACGACGAAAGCCAAATCACTACACACTGCCACGGCGAGCCTTCCCCTCTCGTCAGCTTCGCCTCAGTCGCTCGATTTGGAGGAATCAGATATTCTGGCAAGAGCTAGGCTCCTCACCATTCTGGCAGCGCTCAAGTGAGTTTGCCAAAACTCCTCTAGAGCCTGCACGCAGCCGTCTTCTACCCCTCCTTCACAGAGCTAGCTGTCTGATCTCTGCACATCCCCTGGCACCTTAGAACTCGCGCCAGCCATGGCATCAGTTCTCAGCCTTCGCGGTCTTAACAGGTACTACCGAAAAGAACGTGTGCTGTCATACGTCGACTCAAGTCTATCCGACTATTCTGCTCGCAGCTGTCACAGATGCAGAGGCTGTGAAAAAAGCCGAACGCAAGCACGGCTCACAGTATCCCCAAGAACACCAAATTCAAGAGCACGGGCTGTTGCTTGCCTTTGCCAGCGGACCCGCAGGTCAATTGTGCGAACAACCTGCTTCAGTCCTGCAAACAGCCATGCTGCGACGTGACATCAGACATCAAAACCAGTACTGCAGAAAATACTTGATAAATTGCACGAATGCTACATCATGCTGCGTTTCGGTCCAGCAGGTAGACCGAACCTCACAAGGCGAAAGCAGAGTGCCGCGCCGACAGCCGCAGTCACGGTCCGCGCTATAAAGCCATATTACTGCTGGTTCATCCGGGGCATTCGCTGACCTGGCTTCCAGCTGCCGTTCATGAGGAGATCCTTCCGCGCACACCACTAACAGAGCTGGGCTCAGGGGGCCTTCACTTTGGCCTCCGCTTGTTGCAAGCCCTGGAATGCCTCACGCTCAGGACACATGAATAGGATTGCCCGACTTCCCTCCTCGGAAGGCATCCGCCTGGTTCAGCGCATCTGCGAGATCAAAGCCAGCCTGCCACATCTTTTCCCAAAGCTAGAGAGGCCAGGCTCTTCGGTTTCCCGCTGCCTGGGTTTGGGGCCAGATCTTTGGCACCAGTGCTGACCCCAGGGAAGCCTGCCGCACAGTTCTCAAACCCCTGCGCTCTGAAACAACGTGCCGGGAACCGGCACGCCTCTCTCAGGCATTGCAGCGAGGCAGTTGCAGCTTCGGACCTAAGCTTCAGGGGAAACATGGTGTGGCACCATGCAGACCATGCACCAAAAGTCCCAGACCCGAAGTCTAAAGAGGAGAGTATGTCATTCCGCACTCCTGCACCGACAAGAAGATCGAATGGCCGAGACCTCCATCCACGCTGACCTGGCTTGCCGAGCTGACCGACGTACTGCTGCTCCGCGTTCAGCTGCATGTCCCCAAAGATCTGTCACGGCACAAGCTCGCAGGACATCGCAGAAGTTGTTGCGAACAACTTTCAGCCTCCAAGGCTCCACAGACTGCGCTGCTGCCTGCAGAAGAGGCAACCACGCCAGGGGTCTCGCCGTGGTTGTCCACGAAATCCTCACAGTTGTTGCATGGGATTCCCACCAAGATCTTGCTCTCTGGCTGACAAGAATGAAGCTTTTAGCGGATGCTCTCCAAAAAAACGATGCGATTGTCAGCAAAACCAGAACAGCTTCAAGCGAAATATGCTGCTTTATTGAAGTCGGACCCGAATGTACAGCATCCGATCGACCCTTGGAGCACGCAGAGGCTGCACATGTACTGACGAGGTGCGTGGAACATGGGACGGACGCTTCGGGAACCTGCTTGATCGCCCTGTGATTCCAGGACAAATCCTCAATCTAGAACTTCACTAAACCTGGCGAATGCCGAATCGTAAAGTTGAAGTCCAGAACCCCAAACCCCGAGCGAAGGATGATGATGCCCACTGGTTGAAGGACTACCCGGGCGGGTCCGTAACAGAAAGGAAGCGGTCCGCACTCTGTAGGCGATCCAGCACAAGTAGGGTCGTAAGCCTCATGTACTCTCTCATGACACGACTTGCTTCCAAGCCGACCGAAACTCGGACCAGCACAAATCGCCACCTTCGGCCGCTCGATGCAAAGCCATACCTTGCAATGAGCTGGACTTCTGGAATAAAGGGCTGTGCAAGTCCGTGCTACCGCGGTGCGACCGCGGCTGTCCGAAATTGTCGGATTCGCAGAGTTCAATAGCAGCAGCCTCACCTCACGTTTATTAGCCGGTACTGCCGGGAGTCTGCACAAACCACGTATCCACGAAAGAAGTCAACGTGAAGCCAGGCCCGTGGCAACCAGTGCTTCGCCATGCTTGGCTGCTGCTCCGAGCAACCTTTTTGACAGACTAGGAGCAATTTCTGATCAAACCTCAGCTGTGCATCGTAGAGGTTCCGACGTCTCTCCTGTACCGACATCTCTGGCAAAGCCTCGGCTGCACTGCAAAGCAACTATCTGCCGACGCTTCGGTGTCCAGGATAGAAACCGTCCCCCGTTCATTTGCTTTAAAGGTGAGCCTAAGCGTGTAGTCTCGAGCATGGCTGCGCTAAGTACAAGCCTGTATGACAGCGCCACATTCGCGATTCCTTAGAGTGCTCAATGCCATTGCAAATAATTACTCTTATTCTTGCATATAGCATGAACATGAGCTGCTGGGTCGCTGCTATTGTCGATGCAGTTCTTGTTGTCAAACTTGCATGTAGAGAAAGACAGACAGACAGACAGACAGACAGACAGACAGACAGACAGACAGACAGACAGACAGACAAACAGACAGAGAGAGAGAGAGAGCGAGAGCTGGGAGGGAGAGCGAGAGGGAGAGAGAGCGAGAGGGAGAGCGAGAGGGAGAGGGAGGGGGACAGCCAGCAGGCAGGCAGGCAGGCAGGCAGGCAGCAGGCAACAGGCAGGCACACAGCGAGAGACAGCGAGAGACAGAGCGAGAGAGAGAAACGCCCCTTCACTGCCCAGGCGGGGTCGCGCCAGCGACGAAATGAGTGACTTCCAGAGGCATCAATTCGGCATACTGAGCTTGGCCGAGACCCGGACTCAGCATGCTGGATACCTCCTGCGACTGGACAGTTCCAAACAAGCTCTGTGCTAAACGGCGTA